TTTTTTTTTTTCCTTTGGTGGAAAATATGGTTCATATCATGGGTGGGGCAGAAGGGCCCAGAGTGAAAGAATTTTCCTTAAAAGTTTGTATATGTAGGCAGGCACTATCAAATACTTCTAGCACATGAAGAAGCCATATGAGATTGCCCTAAAGAATCTCTTTATCTTCCAGAAGGCACAGTATAGATAGTTTGACTATGAGCCCCCTGACTAATCTTCAAGGTTGGTTTTGCAGTTACCAAGAATATTTACAAAAGTCTGACAATAAATACAATTCAGATTCTAATGCAAATACTGAATTGCAATGTAACTTTACAATAGAGGACATTTAAACATCAAAATGGAAATTAGGCTGGGGAGTACAACTACAAGAAAGAGGAAAAGAGAAAAAGGAGCTTAAAAATCGGAGAGTAAAGAGAATCTCAAAAATGAGAACACTGCATAGGACAGAAAGCCTAACAAGTTTAAGATTAAAATCTGAATCCCTGATGGCCCAGCTAATCTTTTCTCTGCTTATAAGTCAGAATCATATCGATTTCCATTAATATTTATCTCCTTGAATCTAATGTAAGAGGAACATCTATGTTGCAATTCTCCCAGTTTTGCTGTTCCCATCATGAATTTCACTGAAGAATCACATCAGGTTGATGAGGTGTCACCTGTCCTTAATAAGTAAAGTATTAAGCTATATCATGTAAAGTAGCACAAGCTTTAGAAGTGAGTCACTTTAAAAACTAAGCACCGTAAGTTCAGCTAAAATTTTAAATAAAAGTTAAAGGACTAGAATCATCCATACAAAATTTGAAATCCAGAAGTTTCTCTTGCTTGAATTACTTTCACACTCCAATTTAAACTCAGAAACATTATGTAGCTGTCACACTTCTTTGTTCCCCTAAAGTAAAAAAAAAAAAAAAAATCTGTATATAGCTGACAAAAAATAGGAGACTGTCTGCCAGCGTGTTCTGTATTCATGTCTAACATTCTATAGAGTCTATGCAGAACACATGGTCTGAAAACACCCAAAAGCCTCTTTTTACTGGCTTAACACTGTAGTCTGTTTCCCCAGCATGTTTGCACTACCTACAGTACATGTCTTACATAAGCATGGATTCCTTTTGAATGTTCAAGTCACGTAGTATTTTCACATGTTTTGATTTTGTGCATATGAGAGTTATACCTACATTTGGAGAGTGCAGTTCCTCATGCCTTCAGCATTAAATTAATACTGTTCATCTGACATCAGTTAAAATTCCAGCCAACAGAATGCCAATAATGTCTATGACAGAAGTTTGACATATTTAGTTCTCTTAAATATAGGGCTGATTTAGCAGCTAAATTAGAAATCTCCGGGTGTATTTTTGAAAACTAATTCAGTGTGAAAATTATTAATGACTTAGAATTGTGCATAATGTATTTTGTTTTTCCTTATTCCCGTATCCAGAAAGATGTGTTGCTTCATATCAGAAAAATTCCCAAGTGGCAATATGCATTCTGTTGTTGGAACACAAAGTAAACAGTTTAAATTAATCCTAATGTGATTTTCTGAATTACAGATGAGACCCATTGGTCATGATGGCTACCACCCCACCTCTGTGGCTGAGTGGCTGGATTCCATTGAACTGGGCGACTACACCAAAGCCTTTCTAATTAATGGCTACACATCGATGGACTTGTTGAAAAAAATCTGGGAGGTTGAACTTATTAATGTAAGTTGGTCTTTTGATGGCACTTTAGCCATGCAACCCTTGCAAATTGAAATACCTGTTATAGTTGAGGGTTTTTTTTTTTTTTTTCTTTCTTTTTTTATACTTGTTTGGGCATCCAGTAAGGATTTACAGATATGCCTTCTGCTTTGAAGATACATCTCTCTTGGCTATATTCAAGTTCCAGAGTCATTGTCTTTTAAAGTTTCAGTATGACTAACTAAGAGCTAGCAAGGACTCTCGGGTGTGTTTTGCAATATTTAAGAAACTCTTCCAAGCATTTTTGGGTTTTCCATTTCAGGAAACTTTATAAGTTTATGTTTAGGATGTGGACATGATAACAAATAGGCTCCCATTCTGGTCTTTGCTAATATTCACTGTTAAAAATTAAAGTTATTATTTCTAGTTTTCTATTTCCATAATGTTTCCTTATCTCTATTACTTAAATACATATACTAACCCCATGCTTGAAGAGATTGCTCTTGTTCTTATTAATTAGGCTGCTGTAATATCAAAATTTAATTTTCCAGAGCTGATGTCTAACCTTATGTTTTCTCTATTTTATTTGTACACTTGGCATAGATTGTCTATAAAAACTGGCCAACATATGTTGCCATATATTCAAGCCCAAAGAGACCAACTAAATCTGCATAAATGACTTTGATATCTTTCTCATTTCATTTTTACTGCGATTTTGTTTCTAATGGCATAAATGAAGAAAAGAAGATGAAAAGACAACATAAAATGGTCATGTGTTCAAACTATATATAGCATTATGAACATTTTTTTAAAGTGACAGTAACAATCATTTAATCTTTTAGAGAAATTTTTTTTAATTTTAAGCTTAATACTCTAATATTGAAAAATGCATTCATAAACTGAAATGTAAAGCAAATAAATTTCCGCTGGTTCAAGGTGCTCTGTTCTGCTCTTGAAGCTAGTTTCTCTCCAAAAATCCAGTCTCTATATATTTCATGTCATTACTTATTTTAAATAATGGTTATTATTAGTAACTAATTATTCTTTCCTTTAAATTCTGTCTTAAAAAATAATATCTTTCCTTAAAAAATATATTAAAATTGTCCGTGGATCTAAACGGACACTTGAATAAATTCTTGACTGCTTCTTCTAATTTGCCTCTTAGTTTTCTAGTCTTATCACCTCACAAAAGCTATCATTATTTCACAAGAAACTGTCTGACTAAAACCTCTGGTTGATTTCTTTCACAGTCTATGTGGCAATGGAACTAACTTTTTGGTTGCATCTAAGATTTCAGTTCTCCACCGGGAACTTGACCCTCATCTATCTCATGGCTACTCTTAGACGTTTGCTAGAGGGGTAGCTTCCATTGATCAAACATGCTTCCAAGTTGTGTTGTATTCCAGTTAATGGTAGAGCTTGACAAATATCTCTACGTAACATCTTCTGAATAACCTTGCTCCCCTTTGAAGAGTAAATACTTGAAGTAAGTAAGTAGCACCTGAGTTACTCACCTGACTGGCACTAGCAGTTATCCTCCATTGAAAAGATTACATCCCAATAGAATTTGTTTTCACTGAAGCAAGGCTCCTTCATAATGTGAGACTTTATCTCTCTCAAAATCCAAAAGCCCAGAATAGCATTTAAGGTGTGTGCTTGAACCTGTACTTTCCCCAGTGCTGTGGGTACCAGCAGTCTAGAAATCCCTGTTCAGTACTGTGGCTGGACCTGTAGACAACTGCAGTGACTGCAGGGGCAGTGATGCTGAAAGGCCCTCTGGTTTACTGCCAGTGTTCAGGGACTTAATCCACCACTACTCACGGGACCAACCAGCCTCGAGTTGAGAGAGAAAGATGGCCATGCTAGCTTTTTAAGAGTTTTCCCCTTTGCTACACTTGCTATAATAAATGTGAGTTCAACTGAGGGAGAAGAAGTGCCTGTCACAAGCGTGTATCAGAATTTGAAAGTACAGTCACTGTGTTTTAGACCTTGAGTCCAAATTCCTCTGGCCTGGAGTAAAACATCAGCGTCTACCACCAACCCAGTGTCTTTCCCTTGAAGTAAACTGATTGAATTTAAAGTCCCTTGTGACATCTTTATGGGCAAGTTCACACTCCTGATGATGAATCTTTGCAAGTCTATCTCTATACATATATTTATTATGAACAAAAATTATACCTTTAGATTTGGGAATCAGAAAACAAAATTTTTATGTCTACTAGAGTTGTTGCAAGTGTAGTTCAGTAGATGGTTTGGGGTTGTTGGGCTCCAAAATGAGAGAAAGGCAAAATGTATGCCTACTGGCTTGCAAAGTTTTGACTGGTCTCAAATTCAAGACTTATACTTACCCCAACTAATGTGGAAAGGTATCCAAATACGAGACAATCTCATATATAATATATGAGTCCAGTACTCCTATATTAAATACCATAATTTGTTTTGTTTTTTTTTTTCCTAGCCTAAAGGGGAATGTAGAGTCACCTTGATTTAGAGCTAAGCTTTTAGGGAAGTTCATGTCCTGAATCATTGTAATTGGTGGCTAATTTTAAGGAGAGCAGATGGCTCCAGTAACCATAGTTCTATGTAAAGTAAAGCAAGAAGTCCAAGTATAGGCTGTCTTTGGTACAGAGGTTTGCTGGTGGGGAGGAACAGAATAAAGGATAAGGAGGCTGACTTCTGACATGATTATAAATAACTTCAGCATCTTTAGCTAGTATCGATTAAGCATCCAGTTTCGTATGGTACTATGCTTGTTTTAGGCAAATATTAAAATACATTATCAGTGAGCATAATAAGCTAGTTCAAACTATTCCAATGAGTAAATGAAAACTATACAAAGTTGTGACTTGAAAAGTACAGATATATTTGAAATTGTAATATTTCAAAAAAGTCCCCAAACATCTTCTTCTTGGTGGAGTACATTATTGCCTTTCAAAAGCAAGGTTATTTGAATAAACCAATGTGGGTTTTAGTCGCAAAGCTACCCAAAGAGTAGTGATAGAGAAGAGTGGTAGGAATCCTATATCAGCATTGTCAGTAGTGGAAATTGAACATAGATAAATTTTTATGACATGCTATATTGCCAGTTTTACAGGCCAGTGTGTATCTAGACTGAGAAAATGAAATATATGCCAATAATTGTTTCTGTTATTCCCAGTCTATGCTTCATATTCAGAAGATAATGTCTTACCAGTGCTCTGTTTTGCCCCTGTGTCTGCCACTATTGTTAATAATATCATTATTGTTACTCTCACTTTCATTTTTGTATCAAATATTTTAGTGTTAAAAGATGAATATGTGGGGAGAGGTTGTCAGGTAAATTATTTCTTCTGCAAATGCTAACTGGACGAACCTCTAGCTTGAATTATGGTCCCCTCTAAAGACTTGTAAGAGTATTAAAGACTAGTTACCAATGCATAAGTAGATGAATTTTGTTTTCAACTTAGAAGGTTATTCAGGCCTTGCCTGTGATATCACCAATTTTGCAGAACAGTTCCTACTGCTATTGACAACCTCAGTAGCCCTGCATGGGGGGAATTTTAGATAAAAGAACTACTTATTTTCTCCATGAAATGTATAGGAATAATTATAAAATGAAAAATAACATTAAGGAACCATGCAAATAACCTGTCATCCATTTTTCAGACAAAAAAACATATTGGAAGTATGAAAAACAATGTTAATTTCTTTTACCACTGTATATCTACTTAGGGGATTGTGGTAAGACCAAATAAATTTGGACATTGTCCAGTCTGTTAATTTGTGAATCTCAGTGAAGAACATATGATGAATTTCTTCCCATTGGCTTTATCATCTAAGGAAGTAATTCTAATAATGAGTATTCTTGGACAATGTGATAAAAGCTGTTTCCACATTTGTTTGGAAAACAAAGAAGTGTTGGATCACACTGTTGGAAATGTTGACTCTTCCATGGAGCTCTCCACACTGGGGTAGAATTTACCTGAATTAGCATCTTGACCAATGACCCAATGACATTCTGGGAATCAAGTCAAAATTAAGTAACTGGAAAATAAACTTTTCTTTGACCTTAATAGGATGTTCGTTGTGAGATATATGTATGTTTTGTTGCTTATATTTGGGAAAGGGACCAAAAGGGAGACCAGGAAAGGGATTGATAAATATAGAAATTTCAAATACACTTAAAATTTGCTATTAAAAAAAAAAATTAACCATATAGCGTAACTTTAATTCCTATGTTTATAGTAATTGTTGTGGTTGCCTGATTGCTATATAATGAAATTGCCCTGAGTAAGAAATTGTGCAGGGATTCGAGCACTGTTTATAAGATCACAGTTGTAATTCCTTACAGATATAATGGATCTATTCCAATATCTGCCTTTTTATTTCCTCTGCCTAGCCCAGACTTATAAAATTCTATATTATTAAAAATAATAAATATATCCGTTGAATGAACAACAACAACAAAAAAAAAAACTAGGCTTCGTTTTATAAGGGCAAGAATAGCTTTAAAAACCTAACTGTAGTGATTGTTGTTTTTTAAAAGGAACAAATAAAATACCTAAGGTAGCAATACCTGTATGCGTCCCATGAAAATCATTTGGACTTATTTTTGTAACAGTGAATTGATTAGAAGGCCATTTGCTTCTTGCCTAATAGCTACTGAACTATACTTACCTCACGCTTTCATTTAGAACTGTCAAATTTTTTTTCACAATGTTATTCATTTAATTTCAATCTTTCTAGGGAAATTTTGTGATAATCTAACTACTTGGAGATATAAGAGTTTTTAAAGGAAATTTCTAATTTTGTGTTAAATCTTCAATAATATGACTTTATTGCTTTAAATGTTATATAGTACTATTCGTAACAGATTTAAACTCATTATTAAAGTATTGATATTAGAACTGGGGGAACACCAGAAAAGTAAATAGGCATTTTAGTCTGAAGAATCAGTCTTGAGCAATCAGAAAAAAATAAACTTTATGAAGAACCCAGGCCTTCTGATTATAGCCATTTAAGGTAAAAAATTTCTACCTTAAAAA